TTTTCAGATGAGAGAACGAGGCACAGAAACATTAGGTATCTGGCTACTCAGGTGCAAAAGCAGGGGCCTTACCCCTCTCAAGCTCTCTGACCTTTGAATAAGCATTCCATCAGCCCCGGAGATAGTGACGAGTCTCTGCAAAGCTGTATGGTACTTCTCCAAGCATCTTCTCTGTGTCCCCAGAGATACCTGCAGCCCTTGGCACAGAAATTCCTCCGTGATCATTGCTCTGAATCAGTGTTCTTATCTGGGCACATGCACGAAGTCCCTATAGAACTGATGTGGTGGTAAAACGCGGTAGATGTGAGAGGCTAAGCGTTTTCCCAGGTAGAGAACCTGGAGATTTTAGTAAAGGCTCTTGGAAATGATCTATAGGTCTGAGAACAGAAGACAACGATAACCCTAGCCATCAAGAAAAGAGGAGGAGTAGCCAGCTGGGCCTCCACTGTGAGTTTGCCAGTGTCCTCTGATCTCAATGTGTCACCATTTTACTTGCTGCGCAGTTGGGTGATCTCTATGGAAGAGAGATGAGGGACACAGCAGAGGCCAAGCCCAGAGGCAAAAAGCCCACCAGTCTTGGACAATTCTGCCATAAACTTTGAGTGGGGGCGGTTAAAAGACCCTACAATCTGCCCCAACAGTCACAATGGGCTTTTATAACCCTGTTTTATTGGTCATGTGGGCATTCCTGGGGAGGATGTGACTTGGGGACAGATAGTTCTCTATTGCTCAGATAGTTCATGGTAGGGTGATAGCACTCAGAGACAAAGAGAATCTCCCATAGCACTCTTGGGAAGATATGCAAGAACATTTCCTTAGGGGACAATTAGAGTGGCATGTACTGAAGCATACTCCAGTATCTCCACCCTTGGAAGAGAAGTAAAGATTAAGCAATATATATCTACCCACGTGTCCATTCATCCATCCATTAACATTTATTATACCCATCTAATGAACCAGCCCAATGTAATAAGTACCTGTGATTTAAAAGGGGGTGCATGGAAGTCTAGTGGAGAATAGAGACACATTGATGCATAATTCGAATGTCATTGCTAAAAGACAATCAAGTGTCAAAACTTACCCGCCTAGAGGTAAGAAGCAGGATATAGAAGGAGGATCAACTCTTCCTACAGTCACTAAACGAGTCCTAAAAGAGTTCACAAGAGAGAGAAAGGTGTGGGTGGAAAGGTTGTACAGAGAGAAGGCTCCTGTGAGATGCACGGTGGTCTAAGACGGCCCAGTAGACTTGGTGGAACAGAGAGGTCGTCCAGTGGGGGTGACTGTAAACGGACTTCTTCTTCCAGCCCTGGAATCATTGAGGAGTTCTGGGCAGAGGATTGGCAGTAAAACACCTGCATTTCAGGAAGGTGGCTCTGATAATAAACACAGTAGGCATGATGGAGAAGTCACAAAAAGCCCAGGAAGACTTACGTATGCTGTTATATGCCAGGATCAGGCATGCACAGCAGGGATCTAGTGACCCTCAAGCTACAGGCTGATTTCCCACCTGAGTGGCCTTCTTCACATGTGATGTCTAGTTCCAACACGTGGTCATCTTCTGTTGGTCATGTGTGATGTTCCTCTAAGCAACTGCCTGTTCCTCAGTCTCTCTCTGTCCGTTTACTTCTATATATATATATATTTATATATATATATATATATATATATATATATATATATATATATCACTCTCAAGTATGGACTAGTCTTTATGGTGCCCTGGGCCCGTGCATACATACAGGCCCAATGTCACATAGGCACTGTCAAAGCTTTCTCAGAGTCCTTCATTTTGGTGCCACCCACATTCTACTTTTTTCGCCTCTTCAAGTGGGGGCCCAAGGCCAAGGAAGAACCTGGTGAACAGTTCCACTCACATGCTAGTATTGTCCCAGGCAAGTGCATTGTCCCTGGGCTCAAGGGAGCTGAGATCACCTAGATACCTTCTAGACTCTCAGAGACAAGACTGTAATGGAGATATTTTGTTTGCAGAATGAATGAATGACTCCCATTTACAGAATGCCAGTTAAGGTTGGGCTGCCTAGAACCTGACCCATTAAGGGGCTGTAGAAACACTGCTGTGTCCTGGAAGAAGCATCACTCTGGATGCAAGTACAGGGCTGTGCACCATAGATCACCAGCTCCTGGTTGGAGTAGGCAGTCCTCCATCTGCAATAGTGTAACAGGATCGTTCTAGAATGAAAATTCCAGCATTTAAAAAAAATCTGTCTAAACATGGCATAGAGCCCATTCTGTTGATGTTTAGACACAAAATAAAGGTTCTGAGCATGTAGGACTCTTCTGCTCCCTGACCAAGGGTATAATCACAGATTTACACAATGTACTCTGGACAATGCCTATCCAGCGAAGGTCACATTGTCGTGGGTACAACCAAGGAGCCTGCATGAGGCAGTGAGCACAGAGAAGCCAACAATCCCATAGGTCATGATGCTCCAAACCAGGACCCCTTCTCCATGCACAGAACAGGGGTCAGATGAGCCTCAAGGAAGTCAATCCATCTGGGGGGCTGACAGAGACCATGTGTTATACGGAGAACCTTGCTACTCAGTTTTGTGAAGGTCGGCAGAAGACCAAATGGGAGAAATACCTTCTAGTTCAGAATGTCGCACGCTGTGTGGGTCTGGCTCAGAAACAAACCATTCTCTCTGTTTATTGAGGCCCTGGTGTATGCCAGGCACTGGATATATGCTTTATCTGTTCCTTGTGGCAGCCTTGGGAGGTACTTACCCATTCTGTAGACGAACAGATAGAGCTACAAAGAAGGTGGTGAGTGGACCAAGGTCACCTGGGGAGGAAGAGAGCAGAATTATAACCCATCCTTCCTGACAGGGAAGCCATGATTGTCTCCTTCCACTCTCCCATCTTGACCACGCTGATGAGCGCAGTTCAGGGGGCTCATGGCCACTTCCCATCATGTTGCTTGTAGGTGAGTCCAAGGGAAGGAAGGCAAAGCCCAGCCCTACCCACCACCCCACACTGTCATTGGCAGAGCACAGCCATCAAAGGGTAACAACTCCATGAAGCCTCTTGCCAGGCACATGTCAACGAAGAAAGCGAATGGCCTCCTAGCCCTGAGCAGTCTTCAGTTCCCTAGAGTCTCCGGACACTTTGGGGACGAAGTAGCCCTGGGTGTCTGGGCCGAGACTGAAGCAATGACAGACCGGAGAAAGGATGGGAGGGAGTGCTCCTGCCCAGTCCTGGGGGCGGGGAAGGTGTCTTATTTTGGGGAGAGGGCCATTTCCATACATTTGAGAGGGGGGAAAAAAGACATAAGCCATAGCAAGAGGGGTTGAAGTTAGACAGTATAAAGAACTTCCCGGTGACTTCAGTGAGAAAACATGCACGAGGGCTAGAGGGCTACGTCCTTGAAGCTCGTCTGGTGGCCACACGGGAAGTGGTAGAGCAGAGTGCTATGCTGTAGAGAGACTTCCTGAGGCCCAGACACACCCACGAGCTCTTCTTCATCGGTGGGGAGTAGGGAAGGCTGGGACAATGGGTGGAGATGAGGCCAAGAGGGTTCTTCATCCCACCTCTGGGGTTGGGGACCCTCTAAGGAGTATCTCCGTTCCCTAAGGTTGGGGAAAACACAGAAGAGGCCTTCTAACACAGTTTGGAGGACCTTTTGGAGTGGGGCAGTCTTGGAAGAACTAAATCCCCAGGTTTCCCAGCTTTCCAGTGCCAGGAATACCTACCTCACTGGCTGCATGCTCCTCCTCCATAAAAATTGGGAAGGCTTCACTGTGTGACCCTCAGGTCTCTTCTAATCCTAACCTCTCGTACAGTCTGCCATACGAGCCGTTCCCCAGGTCCTGGGTTCTGTTCATGTCATATATCAGTAACTACTGAAAGTGCATTTATCATCTGTGCAGCTTTCTGTGGGGAAATAAGAATCAAATAGGATCCAGGCCTTGGCCTCTAGGAGGGGACAGCGTAGAAAGAAAAGTTTCTTCAGCACGTCTAAACTCCTTATACACACAGACTCCTGTGTTCCTCACTGTAACTCATTGAGGTTGGTATTAACCCTGGTTATGCAGATGAGGAACCCACGGCTCAGAGGCAAAGTCACATGACTAATGCCACGCAGTGGTGGGGCCTGAAACTGGAGCCCAGCTGTTAACTACACCGCGGTTCTCTGCTGTGCACACAAGGGACTCTCTGAGGATGGCTCTGTGTTCTGAGACAGAGCAGGGACACTACTCATCCAGAGGAGTCTTCGGGGAAGGGCTGAGCCCTGGGCCTTGGAGTAGGGCACAGCTTGGAGGCTGGTAGAGAAAGAAGCAGTGTATGTTACTAATTCCCTGTCTTCTTAGGGCAGGCAAGAGGAAGGCAGTAACAGCTCCACCTGCTGGGCGGTCCATGAGAGGAAAGGGGAGTTAGTGAAGAACAGAGGCCTCTATAAACCCAGCAGTGCAAGTGCCCTCCTCTCCACAGGGCCAGCCCCAAAATGAAGGTCTGGAAGGGCTGATGATGGCCACGCCCTCTCCTAGACTCACTAGGGCAGTCTAAAGATGTAGCAAGTCCCCCTAAATACCCCCAAACCAACGGCCATGGAACCAGACCGTGGCCGCTGCCATGGTTAACACTATATAGCAGTGTCCACAAGCCAAGAGGTTTTAAGATGCGCAGTAACTACTAGACAGTTGAGACGCCCATTTCCAGACTGGGGACAGGTGCCAGGTCATTAAGTAACCAGCTACGAAGAGGGCAGATCCCAGACCTGAGCCCAGTCACTCTTCACCATTCTGCTCCTGTTCTGAGTCTTAGACCCAGGTGCCCCCTCAACCTAGGTGCCCTCCCAAATTCAGGTTTACCCCTGCCTGGGGCCCTTTCCAGCCATAAGAGCCCTTCCCTAACGGGGGCCGCAAAAAGATATATACATATCGCGTTAGTCTCTCTCATTGGAAAAGACTAGAATCAGGCAGGTCAGGCCACATGCACCATCCCCTCTCCCCCAACCGAGCGCCGTTGCCTTCTGTTCACAGTGATGGCTCCTGTGCCCAGGCCGGTGGGGGCATGGAGGACTCCGTGGTGGCAGCGGTGGCAGCCGGCAGACCCAGTGCCCATGCCCCGAAGGCTCAAGCCCAGGAGCTCCAGCAGGAGGAGGAGCGGCCGGGGGCGGGGGGCTCCCCACGGGCTGGCCCCCTCCGCGCGGCCTCCCCCGGCCAGCAGCAGCCTGCCCTGGCGACGGCGCTCTGCTCCCACACCCCTGCTGCCTCCGAGTACGAACTCTCCCTTGACCTAAAGAATAAACAGGTACCCAGGGCCTCCTAGGGGGGCGGGGAGGGTGGTGAAGGGCCCTGCCTCTGGGGGCTGTCCAGGGCGCCAGGGACCTGCAGGCACACTTTCTTTCAATGTTTCTCCCCAGCCGAGCTACCTAACTGCCCTTCCCTAGAGCCCAGTTCCTCAGGAGGCCATGCTTAACCCCCACCCGGCCTTTACCTGGCAAGGTTCACACCCTGCACTACAAGGCCTGCAGCTAGTACATCCAGGTGCCCTTTACAAGGTGCAAATCTCAGTCCCTACTTCCACTTTGCTCAGAAGAAGCAGCCTTATTTTCATGCTTCCCAAGGGTAAGCCCAATTCTAAGGCATGCACGAGCAAAATAAGGTGCAAAGTCGTTGGCTGTGGATTCCCAAGGCTGGTCATTTTGGAGGCATTCAGAGCCTCCCTACTGGAAAAGGGGCACCTGCTTAGAGGGAGGTTTAACTGTTAGTCTGTCAAGAAACAGATTGGAAACCGGGCGGTGGTGGCGCACACCTTTAATCCCAGCACTCGGGAGGCAGAGACAGGCGGATCTCTGTGAGTTCGAGGCCAGCCTGGTCTGCAGAGTGAGATCCAGGACAGGCATCAAAACTACACGGAGAAACCCTGTCTCGAAAAGGGGCGGGGAGAAAAGAAAAGAAACAGATTTGAACTTGGAGAGGTAGATGGGGGATCCAATCCTCACTGTCCCTCCAGGAACACCCACGAAACCCTCTGGGCACTGCTTTCCTCATTAGCAAAGTTGGGAGTTAGGCCTTCAGGTACCACCAATAGCACTGCTAGCCCTGTAATGCGGAGGCTCTAAAGACGCAGCCTCGGCCTGTGGACAAGGCAACTCTCAGGAAGCCAGTGGGACCGAGTAGAGCCAAACTAGCTTCACTCCTTCTGGAGGACCTTGATGCCAAGTGCTCATCCTGGTGTGGGAGCAGCAGTGAGCAGTGGGCCTGAGTTTTCGGAAAGCTACGTGACAGGGCAGGATCATGTGGACTGGAGGACAACACCGGCAGGTGGGCTTTTCACAAGTGCCATTTGCAAAACAGAAACAATCTTCAGCATTTTCTGTCTGGTCTATGTGCAGGGAGAGTGCTGCCCTTGGTTCCGCCCAGTTCCCTGTTTTGAGAAGGCACTGGGTAAAAACATGAAAGTTATGGGTACCAAGCTTCCTCGTGAGATAAGGCTGAAGCACGGCAACAAGATCCTTAATAATTGAAGCCAAGATTTTTTTTTTAATTGGGCCAAAAAAAATGCTTCAAAATAAGTCAGAGAAAATAGGAAGAGGTCTAAGATCCTGCTTATAGTCTCACGATGCCCGAAGTGCCCATATTTTGTGTGTTGGATGGGAACACGGCCCTGGAGCAGGAGCCTGGGGCTTGGTTGAGTGTAAGCTCACAGACTTTCACTGTTAGTGAGGGAGTTGCCCAGCACTCACAGCTTCCTCCAGGCACCCTTCCCAACAGATTCCATAAAGCGACAGCACAATGGTGGCCAGCCGGCAGCCCTGCACCTCACACTCCTCAGGATCTCTGGGTCTTCTGCATTCTGGACAGAAAATGAGAACTCTGGAGGTCCTGAAGAAGGAAAACAGAACAGGTTGTGGTCATGTGAAGAAATCATAGACTAGAAAACGAGTTTGAAATTCGGAAGGGCTGAGGTGTGGGAAAGAGATAAGACACATTTTCTGTCCTTCCAGGAAAATACAGGGGCACTGGTATATGAAAGCTGCAGATGGAGAACACTTTAGCTTAAGGATTAAACTGATAGAAATGTAAGATGCCTGGCCTGTGCAGTCCTGGGCTCTTTATTACTGGATGAAGCTCTAGATCAAGACAGTGTGAGCTGGGGGGTGGGCTAGCTGTGAGCATCCTCACAACTCTGAGACAGGAACCATCTTTTGTACCTTTCTGCGAGCATCCAGCCAAGAGTCTAGGACGTAGTAAGTACCGAGAGAGTGGGTATTCTTTTTAGTAGCTGTGATACCTGAAGCAACAAGCGTGGGGCACCAAGGAGAAAAGCCAAGCCTCTTCCCCGCCCCGGAGGAGGGACTGTGGTCACCTCCCATCACCAAACCAAAGAGAGCCTCACCGGAGCAGGAGAAGTTGGTATAGAGTGCTGACTCTGGTGACCTGTTAGCGTCAAGTCTAATTCTAACAGATAGATTCGAACTTGAGGCCATTCAGCCTGAGGACCAGCCGCCCTTCCCTGAATTTTACATCTTATTAGACTAACCACAGGTAGGGTAGGCAGGAGGAACAGAGGACAGAGGGAGATTGAGGAGGTCAAGGCAAGGTCATTGAAACATGGCACATGCTTACAACAGACTGAGCTTTCCTTTTCTCTGCTGAAGAGCTGTGTGGCCTTGGGCAAGCTGTTCACCTTCTCTGGGCCTCAGCTACCTCACACGTGTCTCTGGGGCTTTGCGTGCTTCCCCTTGGCCTCTGTCTCTGAAGGTCCTCCTCCTCCCTGCTCTCCTCCCTTGGCCTCATGTTCCAGCTGGTCGGAGGTGTTTCCTCACCTCTCTGGAAGCTTCTCTGGCCTTTCCTCATTACCCCCACCCCCCACCCCCAGCACAGAGCCTGGCATTAAGACAATGTTCTGTGGTAGAATGCTCACGAAGCTTGCGGGGTTCTAGGCTTGATCCCCAGCACCACAGTGAGATGAAATTAAACCATGGGGAGTAGTGTCTTAAAATTAATGAAATCCTGTTTGTTAACAGAGGAAAAAGAAGTTTGAAAGTGCCACAACGAAACTCATTACTTTTTAGGCCAACTTAAAAGCTAATTTAAATGTATGAAAATATCAGAATATCAGAAAAATATTCAAAAGAAAAAGATGATGTTCAGAGAATGAAAAGGAGAAAGGTCGTGAGTTTGTGACCAAGAGGGATGGGGATGAGCGTGAAGCCTAAGCTGGGTCCTAACTAGAACTCTGGGGGAGAGGGTTTAGTATTCTGACCCTGCAGTTACCCGCAATCATATGGAATCCAGAGGTAGTTCTTAGGCTTGGGGTTGTGGGTAACCATGGCCTCCCCTGTCTTCTACCTCCCAGGCTTCTCTGTCAGCCAGTCCAGACCCAGAAGCATTTTTCTGGCTCCTTGTTACCTCATATCATCTCCGTCCTCAACCCTTACTGAGACTGCCTCTGACTTTCTCCCAAACCCCACCCTCCCCACCACCCCACTTGAAGCCAGGCCAGCCTGCCTCTTGCCTGCACCCCTGGGTCACCTCCCGCCAACTCCAGCTTCAGCTGCGCCTCTCCCACCTGGCTGCCACAGCGTGGCTGAGTGAGTCATGCCTGCAAAGTACGCTTCTAATCATGTAGCTCTGCTGGAAACCCTTGATGGCTGCCTTTATGTGCAGTACAAAAGCTTCCCTGGCTCCACTGCCACAGACCCAAGCCCACACCACGGTCCCTGCTGCTCCTATTCACAGCCCCTGAGTCCCCCGGCCAGCCTTTGCCTCTGGCCCTTCATACACAAGGTTTCCTCCACCGGAAGCACTGAACCTCAGCCGGCTCCACTGTGCCTCTCGGGTGGTCTCAGTTTATATGTAGGTCTCACCCAGGAGCTCCAAGCTAGGTGAGCACTTGTAAAGAGTCCCATGACTTAGACTTCAGGCTGGTAGTTGCTCCGATCATACAGACAAGGACTGTGTTGTTCTCCGGCTCTTGCAGAGCTGAGCAGATGGTGCTTTGAACACTCACAGGGTGGGGTGGGCTCAAGGATTGTGCTGCATAGTACAGTCCCCATGGAGAGCTAGTGGTCTGCTCTTGGTCATTGCTCTTCTCCTACACTCAGCACAGGCCCTGGATTCCAGGAAATGCTCAGCCAAGAGTGAGTGAATGCAAGAAATCTGCCCCAAGCTTCCCCGTATCTCACTGACCCCTTCCCCAAGACCCTGCCTCCGGAAGGGGGCCTCTTACAACACTACCTCAACACCCTTTGACCCTTCTTCCCTGGTCTGCTCACTTCCTCTTGTAGTGATCCTTGGGGCTACAATCTAGGGAGCAGAGAGAAAGAGTAAGCAGGTATGTTCCATGGGTGTTAGGAAAGCCACTGCCCTTTAGGAAAGCCACTGTGGCAAGGGGACAGACTCTCTACCCTCTATACTATAGAGGTTCCAATGTGACTCCCAAATCCTCCAGCTCCCCAAGGGATTTGCACCCTGCTCTCTGTTGTGGCTGCTGAATAGGCCATCTTGGCTGGCTGTTCAAATTGTAGAGCTCCCAGATCTGGTCAAACCTCAGGGCCACAGAGACATGGTCAGCAGCATCCAGGCATTGTTCCCCAAATCCAGGATCCATTGGTGTCACACACAGTCTGCCGTCTTTCCTGGCATATCTTCTAGACCTCAAGCTACCTCACCCCAGGGGCACCTTGCCAAGAAATGGTTGACTAAGTTTCCAAATCACCTTTCCTCTCCGAGCCTCAGTTTCCTCCTTTGGGAACTCAGATGCTGTACTGAAGTGTCTCTAGGCTCCATCTCACTTTAGAGATGAGATTTTCCCATGAGTCAGAAGGAAACCAGAGGGCCAGGCTGTAGAGGATGGGAGTGAAGACAAGGCCGGGCAGAAGTGGTACCCCACTTGGCTTCATTCTCAGAGAAGGGTATCACACTGCTGCTCTCTGCTCAGTGCTAGTCCTGGTAACACCATAATGCAAAACACACTATCATTTCTGTCACAGAATTAGTCCTCCTGTGGTGGACATGTAGGTGCCACCTAGGACTCTCTGAGCACTGTCTGTCAGTCAGGCATAGTGCAAAACCTTTGCCACGCATTGTTTCCCAGATCTGCACATTGTTACTGTGCCATACCATGGATGGGAAGACTAAGACACAGTCCATGGTCTTAACCTGGTACCCTCCCATCTCCGCCATCACAGTAAACCATCTGTATAGGCTCCATAGATGAACACACACACCCGACCTGCTGTGGAACAGCCCTGCACATGGGGTCTCCTGCTCTCCGCCTGATGTTTGAGTTTGCTTTGCCAAGTTCCAGAAACGCGTAACATGACTGGCTTTAATGTTCTCAGTCAAGAAACATGGAACCAGAAGAACCCGCACACACACACTTTTGAAAGAGGCCCCCATCCAGCCCAGACTCCTCAGCACTGTGCCCCTCCCCCAACACCTCCTTCTCCACCCTCACTTGCTGCCTCCTGGGAGCCTCATCAGGCTGTCATCTCTCAGGGCCCTCATCAGGCTCAGCTGCTCTGGCTTCTGAAAAGAGGGAGCATGTCCCAATGACACTGAGAACACCTCACTGCTGCTCCTGGCAGAAGCTGAGAGATCTTTCTCTTGGGAGCAGTCAGGGCCGCAATTAATTACCTATAAATCATAGGACTCAGGGAGAAGTGAACAGACTTGCTCCTTGGCCAGTAGGTCCAGCTGCCCCCCACTTCCTGGACACTCCAGCCCACCCCCAGGCACCCCGCCCACCCAGGCACTCCAGCCCCCCCCATACACACCAGGCACTCCAGCCCCCCTCCAGGCACTCCAGCCCACTCCCACCCACCCCCCAACACTCCAGGCTGCCACATCACCTCCCAGCTCTCTATCTGACCCTGTTAAGAACAGGATTGGGGTGACTGGGTAGACCTGACCTGGACCACTGCAGAGCTCCTCAGTGCTATGAGAAATTGTCTGGCAATATGGAAGGGGAGGAAGGATGGGGAATTTGGCTCCCAGCCCAGATCAGGGAGAAAGTCTGGGTTTTTATTGCCCCCAAGCACAGGGAAGAGTTCACTTTAGCTCACGGCCACACGCATTTACTAAGCTCCAGCCATGGGTCTGGCCCAGCACCGGGCAGCATGGGGATGCTGAGGGTTCAGAGCACGGCAGAGGTGCAAACATGGAGCTGGCTTTCAAGGATGAGAAGGCAGTACCGGATCAGCTGGAGCCAGGAGGGCGTGGCCGTGCAGAGCGACCAGAGCAGAGGGTAACAACGTAGTAACTAATGTCTGTGCTGTCCCTGAGAAGCCAGGCACTGCCCGAGTATCCGGGGGAACGGAGGCCTAGCAAATGTCTCAAATAAATGATACCCCTGTAGAAACTGCTGTGAGAAGAGTAGACAAAGAGAGGGGTGGGTGGTCTGAATATCCCCCCCAAAGTCCTGGAAAAACAGTTTGGACAACATTCTGTATTGGCTGGCTGGTAGGGAAAAGCGGCTTTCTGGAAGACGCACCTTTGAGACAGGTCTTGAAGAGAAGGGAATCTATGGAGCTGAGAAAGAAGGCTGAGCAGCGGCCCACACATGCCCAAGGTCCACCAGTACAGGAGACCTAAAGGGGCTGTTTCCCCGCATGATGTTTGCTCATTGAGTTACTAGAGTGGCATTCTGACAGTGGGCAGGGTATGGAGATAGGGTCTAGGGATTGTATTTAGAGTCCTGCCAAAGGCTTTCCCTGGGATGCCTCCCCTCTTAATTAGTTGCTAATTATCAGCCAGCATAAGCTGCTCTCTTAGATTCCCAACATGGAAATCGTGGAAGAGGCTCTGAAATGGATAGGGGGGAAAAAAGTAAAAATGTGCTTAGAGACTTGAAAATGGTAGGCACATAATTTGTGACTGGCGTGCACAGGGCTTCTGCAGCTAGAATCTAGGATTGATAGTCTGACTCAGGACAAGGGTCCCGAACGTCAAGGAGTTTCACAGGAGGGGGCATCAAGAGTTTCAGAGAGGAGGGGAGAGAGAGGACCAGTGCTGAGGAAGCCACATAGCTGGTCTTCTTGAGGGTCACTTCGGAGGACCTCCAAAGTTGTAGGATGCATAGAAACCAAAGAACACGGAGGCAGAGCAGGAGGTAGCTCAGGAGTCTAATAGTTTGGAAAGGAGGCCGAGAGTACACTAGTCTTCCAAGAGGTTCACTGCAAAATAGAGGGTAAGCTGGGGCCTCGTGGGCAGAAGAGTCAAATGGAGTTGTATTTTAGTCTTCAGAGAACTGGGAGAGGGTCTGAAGGCAGGAGACAGGCAGTGATAGAAGAGTGGAGGTTGGAAATGCAGATAAGAAACACAAAGATGAAGATATGTCCAGAGGAGACAGATGCCTTGGGTCATTTGCTCTGCATCAGATGGGGACGTTAAGAGTCACACGGGTAACCTGGGAATTTGTGCACTCATTTATTCACTACATAGGATGCTGACTGTGTGTCGGGCACCGTCCAAGAACTGGGACCAGGCAGCGCAAAGGGCGAGCAAAGCCTCCGCCTTCACAGCACTCAGTTTTGTTCCCGTGATGTCTGTGACCACCTGGCTCTCAGAGACAACTCAAGGGAAGAAACTGGTCTGGGGGGCTCATAGTTCCAATCCCATCATGCCAAAAGTGTGGAGTAGCAGCTTACTCCACAGTGGTGGGGTCCAGTGGTAGGGCTCTTCACCGCAGGTCAGAGTGTGACAAGAACCAGATTCTGGGTATCACCTTCAGAGGTCCACCCCTCGTAACCAGCTAGGCTCCACCTCCAAAAAGATCCATAATGTCCCCAAATGATACCATGGCTGGAGCTTGAGCATTTAAAATATGAGCCTGTGGGGACCACCTTACATTC